TGACCCTTGTCCCTGTATTCCCATCTCTGCTAGAGCATCTCCATCCCTAGGTTACTTCCCTTGCTCTCCACTGCTTTGTCCCACTTCTCTTTTGAAAAATAGGACCTGATCATGACGTTGGTCATTCACGTTTACCAAGAGAGGGGTTGATGGGTTAATGAAACGAAGAAATGCTCAATTTTAAAAGAATAACTAATAACATCTTAAGAACACTGGAGATATGGAGGAGGCCCAAGAGAAGGTGCGGGGTGAACTGAGCATGGGTGAGGCCTGTACCCAGCTAGTGCTCAGGACAATGTGAGTTTGCGAACACTTCTCAGCCGGGTCATCTTGATATCTCTGTTGTCGTTTTTTACCTTCAGTAGAATCTTGGCTCCATAGGATCTCTGACCACAGGCCCTCATCTGGCCTTTTCCTGTCTCTGAGCTGTGGGCATGAAGTCCTTGGTGTGGCCGGGTCAGCCTAGACGCACGTTTAATCTGGACCTTGGTTCCTGTGCTTGTGATGATGTTTGCGAGTTTGTTTTATAGATGACTGTACCTGCTCCTGTGTTGTGTAACAGTCTGGTCCTGTTTGTTCTGGGTGTCAGCCATCTGACAGCTTCAGGAGCCACCTTGCTCACATGTCTTAGTTCCAACAAGACCCAGGCCGACCCTGCAGTGAGTCTCTGAGGGAAAGAGGTGAGTTTGCAGACACACAGGATCTGGATCCTGCACTCTTGTTAACACTGCCCTGTGGACGAGTCTTCATGTTTTGGTAACACTCTTTAGAGAGGACGTTATTCAACTTACATGACTTTCTCTTATTATTCCATGCATTTCAGCACACTCGCCCCTTCTCTCCAGGCCTGTCATGCCACAAGGTCGGTGATGGCTCACTATCCGAACTCAGGGATTCACAAGCATGGCCTGCTGTTAGTTCACAGTGGTTGTCGATAGTGCCTGTTAGACAAGGACCGTCCTCACATGAAGATGGGCATGAAATCATGTTGTGGGGCCGAGAGACCAGAGTCCTTGTGAAAGCAGCCCGGCAGCATGAGTGTCCATGGAGGGGATGTGCGGCTGCAGCTGCCACCACAGAGCATTCGGTCTGAGGCCGCGTGACTGAAGACACTCTCTCGGCATGAAGACCCTGTGCTGCATCCGTCTGACACCAGGGCGTGGTGACCCCAGGACACACACGGTTCATGCCTGGGAATTCACCGACCTGTGGAGTGTGTGTTTGTGCAGAAAGAGGAAGATTGTTTAACCCAGGTTAAACTTCTGACCTGAAGAACTAAAATACATGTGTATTACTTTTAAGTCCTGCCAGCAGTGTCTAAGGGGTCCAGTGTTTTTACATGCTGACCAGTATTTGATGTTTCTGTTTTGCTTGGCTTTGCTGTTATACCAAAGGATGAGAGGATAGCTTGATCTTTAAATTTACA